ATTTATTCATGCACTATAGAGACAATTTTGTCATGATTTATGTAACATAACACTGCATTTCTTTGTGACTAAAGACACGGTTAAAACTGTGTATTGTTGAAATTCCCCTAGCCAGGTAACTTCTTCAGAAGAACCTCAATGGATTGGAATCAAACAATTGATTCCACTTTTTATCTGACAATTATTTGAACATAACTATTCAGAACAATATTCAATTAGGTAAATAGCAATTTAACAGTTTCTCAGGAATTATTAATTCTTCTTCAGCCAAATTATTAATTCTTCTTCAGCCAGCCCTTAGCAGTCACTTGTCACCAATCATGTTAACTTTAAAGCTCTTAAGGGTCAGTTAAAATGGCTCAGTTTACCAATGGGCTTACTACCAAGGGATCATTAGGTGGGAGAGCACTAATAGGTCTTTAATGGAGTTGTTCCACAGAATCACAGAATGGTTGAGGTTGGAAGGGACCTCTAGAGATCATCTAGTCCAACCCTCTGCTCCAGCAGGGACACCCAGAGYTCAGGAACATTTTAATAGGAGTTCAGTACAAATAATGTGAGTATCACGTGAGGAGAATAAATCTTTTTGTGGTTTTCCTTCTATTTCTTGTCTTATTTACCAGAGTAAATAATTTTCAGAGTTCAAATTTTGTTCACAGGTAAGAATAAGTTTATTTATGAAAATACTTTAAATGTACGTGATTTCTCAAATTTTAGTTCATGGATAGTTCTGCTAACCTATTGACTGTTGGAATATATCTATCTGTGTAATCCAGTTTCAAGTAGTATGTTAACTTTCTCTAAGGAGGGTAAACAGCTTGTTTTGATACTGTATGGATCATTGAACAATAAAAGTCTAACAAATTCTGAAACTTAGTGTGGAGCTTTGCATATACGATTGTCCATCCAGATAATAGGATCCAAAGGGGATTGTTAAAGACAACTTTTATCTTCTGTAATTGTTTCCACTTATGAAAATCAATTTAATATGCAGAGATGAAGTTAGAGAAGAAAGGATTAATATGCTGAGGAGGATAAAATATGACTCTATTTCACATACTTATTTTTAAAATGCAGAGAAAAACATACAAACCTCAATAGTTGGTAAGGGCTCCTGCAGTTTTTTTCTTCCATAATCATAAAATGTGACAGAAGAATTTTTTCCTAAAGTGTTAAGTGCATTAATTCCTGCAATGTATATTAATGTTTGTGTGTAAACTGCTGTTACCCACTTTGATGTCTTTGTCACAAATATCTTTGTGAGGATTATTTTGATCAAAGATTATTACTTACATTTTTAGCTAAGTGTCATCAAAGAGTAATATCAAAATAATACTACTGAATTGAAAAGCTGTAGAACAAAGCTTTATTTCCATTTCTCACAAAAATGATGTATTGTGGTTGCAAGTTTGCTCTATGCTAGAATTTAGAAGAAAAAAAAAGCCATTTTTCCTACCAAAACTATAGTTTTAGACAGAAGTTCCAGGAGAAAAAAAAAAAATTGTATTATCCACATCTTTTCCTAACCTATGTATCAGTCATCAGAATTGTACCAACTTGTTCCATACAGATGAGTCAGTGCGTATGGTTTGGTGGTGCCTTTTTGAATCTTTTATTTTTTTGTTGTTGTTTCTTTTGATGACTCATCTCTTTTGTGTGGTCAAAAGCTGCATTTTGTTAAATGGCTTTGGGCTTTTCTACTACTGTGGGAACTAAATGCAAAATGATATGACATCCTTAAGGCAAGGGGTGGAGAAAGGGCAAGGCACTTTTTGCTACCAAGCTGCCTTCTACTTTTTTCCTTCTTTTAAGAGAATCTATTTGGAGTTGAGACACAGTAAAGGGTGAGCTTCTGCCMTTACTTTCAAACATATATTGTGATKCTACTTGCTTCACTTGTACGAAATGATGCAGAATAATATGAAATTATAGAAAGGTTAAAACCAAGTCCCAACAAAAATAGAACTGTTTTTTTTTTTTCCTGAGGGTTTTTTTTTTTTTTTTGAGATTATTTTCAGAAGATTACAATTCTGAGTCTTTGTACCCTTTCCTGTTTTTTTAATTGGTGTGAACGTTTCAGTTTATTTCCAAATGGACTTGAAATGTTTGAGTTTTATTTGGACTGAAGAAAGCATTGCAATTTAATTTCTTATGTCTGCAACTTAATTTCTTATATCTGCCAAAGAAATTACATCGATACAGTAAATATGGTTGACCTCTGTGTTTTGAGGAAGACGTGCTCTAACTTTCTTCCGTGAGACAAATTAGTTCGTCTTTCTCCTTGGCTCTGTAATCCTGAAAGGGATCAGGCCTTTTCCTTTGTAATCCCCAAGGGGTGGATCTTGTCATGAAATAATTTGAAACTTTGCTTTCCCGTTTGGTTACTGCTCCTCTGTGGCTCTTGAAGAAGTAGCAGGTCTGACGCACTTCCAAAGTTCAGGCATCCTAAAGGGAGTGCATCCCACGCCAGTCAGGGAAGCAGCAGTCCGGATGACAGCTAATGACTTGTACCAAAACATGTGTTCCCAATAACTGATGTTGCCCATGGTATTTATTATTTCATTTTCTTAGTATGTCGAAAATGACTAAGGTCCCCGTCCGTTAGTGAGTGAATGACTGTTTCAACTTCCTAAAAATTGTTTATATACCTGAGTTTTCTAGAAGGTGGTTCACCTCCCTATATGATGTTGCTGTGTTAATGGGCTTACGTGTTTGCTGGCAATACCTGCTTTGCAATAGCTAATGATAGCCTAAAAGCAAGGCCAAAGGGTCACATGAGACTGAAGAGGGAGTGTGTCAATATATATGGGTATTTCAGGTACAAGCTTTACAAAAGTGACCAGTCTACTTGTTTCTTAAGAAACACTTCAAATTGCTTATCAAATTTGTCAAAATATCAAAAACATGTGTTTCATGTGCCTTACTACTTTCCTGTAGTGGTGCTGAGTTCATCATCCTACCATCCCCAGCATGTCTTAATTACATATATATATATATGCAGATATGCATATATATGTACACATACATATAAGTATATATATACTCATATATATATACATACATATATACTATCTGATCCTCTTGTCAAAGCTGATGAAAAATTGAGTGTATATTTTACACTGGGAGAAAATAGAGATTCTTCCAAGGACTATTTTAGCAGTATAAATCATAAAGAATGGAACCTGAGTTTTAATTTTAACTTTATGATTGGTCCACTCTTCTATGCTTTTTTCTTTGAAGAATAGCTTTTTCTGCTGTTTTTCCTGCTAAGTAAGGGTAATGACAGTGCTGCTGCATGAAGGGAAGGAGGAAGAAAGTCAAGAGGAAGTGTTTACTTGTTCCTTTTATAGACAGCCTGCTTCAAAGAATGGAATACTTTTAGTGTAAGACAGCTGTGGTGAAGAATTCAATATAGACTATTCTTTCAGCAGTGGCCCTTGCTTCGCTGTGGCATACTGAAGCCTTTCAAGATTTTTAAATGATAAAATCTCTGTTAGAAATCTTCTCTTGTGAAGATATTTTTAAGCGGAAAGTTAAAAAGTTGGGAAGCTAAAAGATAAAACAAATATGCTACTTTCTGTACAAAATGCTAAGAATGTGCCTGGGTGTGGGCTATGGAACCAGGGCTGCTGGATGCCCTTGGAGATTGCAGTGAATGGTGGTTAGCAGAAAGTGATGTCTGTAGCACAGGGACAGGTGGGAATGTGATTAGCTGCAAAGGGATAATGTGTAACGTACAGTGATGTACTATAATGTACGACATGTATGTAAGGATTTCAAAAATGTTAATTGATTTTCTACAGTAGGGATACTGGAACATATCCAAAGAGTGTTCTAGTGGGAGATGAGATATTTGCTAGCGAAAGCAGAGGGGGGTTATTTATTTATTTATTTTTAAACTTAGTAACTCTAAGCATGTATTTTTCATACAAGTATCTAATTTTTTCACCTTTTTTTTTTTT